TGGCAGCGCTGGCTAGAGCCCTCCCCGGGACGGACGGATGGACGGACGGACGGACGAGAGGCGCCCGCGCGCCGCCGCCCTTGTGCACGGGCTTCCTGCTGCTGCAAAGATCCGGTGTTGATGGAAACTGCCTGTTCGGTGTCTTATTAGAGCTCTCGTCATCCGCAGCGCAAGGAACGCGCTAGTTGCTGTCCCCGGCGGGCTCCGCGTGGGGACGGGAAGGGGAAGGGATGGGGGCGAACCCTCCTCCGGGAGGAGGAGGCGGTTAGGGAGAGTGCGGGTGTGCACGGGCTTCCTGCTGCTGCAAAGATCCGGTGTTGATGGAAACTGCCTGTTCGGTGTCTTATTAGAGCTCTCGTCATCCGCAGCGCAAGGAACGCGCTAGTTGCTGTCCCCGGCGGGCTCCGCGTGGGGACGGGAAGGGGAAGGGATGGGGGCGAACCCTCCTCCGGGAGGAGGAGGCGGTTAGGGAGAGTGCGGGTGGGCAGGGAGGTGCGGGAGCTCCCGGAGGGGGGGTTTGAGCCCTCCTGTACCACAGCCCAGGTGACACCATCCATCCCCATCGTCCCGTAGGCTGCCAGGTGTCCCGTGTGCCAGCCACGGGCGTATCCACCACATTGCTTTCCATAAGGTGTGTAACTGCATTAAACCGGGATAATAATACTGGGTTACAGGTATAGAGGAGCTAATGGTGTTTAATTTGGTGAGGGCTGAGGGGAGTTGTGTTTCATTATGCCCTGTTTTAACAGTGATTTACAGTGCTTAGGATGGAGCAAGCACAGGTTCTGCCCTTTGTTGGGGTAACACTAGGCAGCGTTGTTCATTGAGTTTAATGGGACTAGGGAGAGAAGAGTAGATCAGGGCACAGGAAATATGTTTAACACTACTTAAACAGTTCTCAATAGCTTCCACAGTTTCTACTATTCAACTACAAACTGATGCTGTTTAAAGCCAAACACAGAATTTTGTGATTTGCACATCCTCCACCACCATCTGATCGAGATGTAAAGCACATGGAGTGCTGATGACCTCTGGCTCTAGAGAGATAGCAAGCTGCATTTCCTTTTCATCAACGTAGCCTCTACAGGCTTTAGAGGTGCCTTTTTATTGGAGATAAAGCCACAAATATATGGCTTTCTTTCCTTGAAAGAACTGTAAATGTCTTTCCATTCTTGGAAGGTATCCGGCTGAGTACTAAGTAGGAACTTGTCAGGCAGTTTTTAAACAAGTAACACCAGTCAGTGATGGAATTTTGAGTTCCAGCTTTATTCACAAGAATAAAAATATACATCAACATAATGCTTATGTGGAATTGGTAGTCTGACATCTTTTACAGTTGGACATTGTGAGTGTTTCTTTAAACAAGGAAATACATGCAAATAAATATTAAATATAACATTCATGAAATTATAAATCTTTATAGCAGCAAGAATGGAAAAGTTTTCATTTGCTATAAACTTAAGTTACATAACCTGCAAGTGAATTTATAGACAGTTGTATTTAATGCTTTTTGAAAGAATTTACCACAATAAGTGAGCGTGCAGCTGCAAGGCACAAGACACACATTCACACAGTTCATCTGTTCCAGTGCTTTGTGTTGCTTTACTTATTTCATGCTACTCAGAAGTAAATGCACACGAGAAATCCTGAAACAGAAGAGTCAAGACTGACAACATAGGCCTGTAAAAGTTTTTTCCGGTGTAGATCTTAAATTTATTGGTGGGGCGGGTAGGATTCCTTTTACTGAATTGCTTCATCAGTCTTTGAAGGATATTTTAAATGGTGTGAAGAAATGATGAGAACTTAATCAGCAAGAAAAAAAAAGCAGCACTAATAACCTCCCACTAGCCTAAAAGCGCACTTAATCTTGTTCATTAATCTGCTTGGGTTCTAACAAGCCATCAGTTTAAAGGATAAATTTGATATCTGGTGCTGGAGCTATTCCTTGTGGATGTGAACTCCTTTAAGAGGAACAAGAGCAGCCTACCAGCTCAAGAACAGCTTAAATTGCTGAAAGAATCTTTTGACAACGATTCAGTGCAGACTCGCTCCCACATATAAAAAGAACTTCTGTTGTCCATGCCTATGTCTGTCTGTCCTCACCAATTCATGGTCTATATTTTTATATATTGTACACAACCAAGCAGGGCCCAGGAAAAGCAGCACCCAGCCTTGAATGTTCATGAATGGACTTACTCCCTCCAATGTGCACTATTAAACACATTATTTTCATCTGTCATCATGCTGCCTTTTAATCTTACCAATGTCTTCAAAGCACAGAAGGATAGGTGTTAACTAAAAACATGAAGGATACTGTCTACATTCAGGAAGCTAATCAATTAAATTGCAGGACAGCAGTTAATGTGCATACATGTATTTAGAAGTCGGGGATTAGATTAATGGCCACCCTACAGAGAAGCTCGTGTTTAAATCTGCACAAGAACCTGAGATGCTTCACTGCAAAGTCGGCTCTGCTACCGAGGCGGCGGACTGGGAGCCGCCTGCGCGGATGGCAGCGCGCTCAGCACGGACAAGCCACCCCGGGAGCTGCGCTGGATTTCCACAAACGCGTCCAACGTTTTCCCCCCGAGCTCAGTTATAAGCGTTGCAGCAGAGTAAGGTAACCCTTCCTCTCTAACTCAATTCTAATTCGATGATTGCAAAACTAATTCACCCTGTAGGCTGTCTGGATTCTATTACAATGATTAAATAATTCCATGCAAAGCAATCTAGCTTCAGGAAGGAAAGATGTCAACTTATATCCTAGAATATTCAGCGATTTTCCTGGCAGTGGAGGATGTGAGTTTTAAGTCCAAAGAAAAACTTGAAAATCAACTTCCATCTCTGCTGCTGAGTCTTAACTGCAAGGCTGTGGTAGCTTCTGATCACAAATGGGCTCTAGGCAGGGGTGCTCTGCGAGCCAGTCTGCTACCTCAGCCACAAAGGGATCCTGAATGACTACAGAGGATAAAGATGTGTAATACTTGTTAAGAAGTGAGGCAGTGTCCCAGTGTCCCTCTTGTGAATGTACTTCGACTTTTTCCCCCCCTCAACTTGTAACCATCAGCAATAGTTAAAGGTAATAAGTAGTTTAGATGCATTCACTGCATGACTTCCTACAGTCCTAAAAAAAGAAGAAAAAGAACTATTCTAAACTTAAACTTTGCCTTGCCTTTTTTTTTTAAATGCATTCACTGCAAGACTTCCTATAGTCCTAAAAAAGGAAGAAAAAGAACAAATTCTAAACTTAAGCTTTGCCTTGCCTTTTTTTTTTTTTGGCCATCTGATTGCCAGGGGAGTAGAAGGAAGGCAGCCTTGCCTCAAGAGGCTGAGAGCTTGCTAACTGTTCTCTGTGCTGAAAGGACACCATTAAACTTGCATGCTGAGCATCTCGAGTCCTGCAACCATGAGCAAACCATCCTCCAGGTATGTCATGCCTGGAGAAAAAAGGACAGGCTAAAGAAGAAACAAAAGTGAACGTACACTGTGAAATATTTAATGCAATCTTTCCCAAGCTGAGGTTTGGTCAGAGACACTGTGCCCACACGCTAGCTTTTGCATGCCTGCATCCACAAGAAACAGAGTGTAGCTTTGAAAGACAACGTTGTTTTGGTGCACAAGTCAGTATCTTGTCCCTGTTTACAGCTGTGGGCCACCTGGAGCTGACGAGCACAGTGCAAAAGCTAAAGGGCCGTGCATGCAGGGCATACTGCCATCAGCACTGGCAAGGGATGACACGCACCTATTCCCAACAGAAGAGGGCCCTTTTGGGCACTTGTTTTGAGGGCTTTGCTTTGCCTTGTTCTCAAATGAAACCTAAGAGCAGCATTCAGGAATATGCAGCACGCTGCCTGCTGCAGCCGTAGATCTTCAGGACTCCGTCCTTCACCTACCCGGAAAACAGGTAAGTGTAGTTTGAACATAGCACTTTGGGAAGCTCTTACTACAGAACTGATTCTTTCCTAAAACACATGTTGTGTTCTGCTGAGACTGGTGACAACACCTTGCCCTGTCCTGTTAGAAGCCTAAATGTATTTTTTGCCAATAATCATATTCTGTATCTTTGTAATTTAATCAGTCATTCACCCAGCTTGCCCACTCAGAGTAATAAGCCATTGACCCCATGGTTTCAGACTGGATCAATGCTATGCCAGAGTTTTGGACACCTGGAGGCCTTGTGTACAAATAGGAAGAAACTCTGTTAACTGACTTTAGACATGATCCATTTTTCCTCAGTTGTGGTCATTAGATTAGCAGGTAGCTTTCCTTAGAAACCTTTGTCTACCAGCCTGCAGGCAAAGAGCAGCATATGCTTAAGTTTCTTGCTGGATTTGGCCTACTTTGCACCAGGTCCTTGGGTATTTAAGGGTTTTCAGGTATATCGTACAGTTCATTTTTCACGATCCGATTCACTTGTAGAAATCCTAGCTGAATGTGGCCTGACAAGTGGCCGCGTAGACGCTGCTGCCCACGGTGCCTCCACAACTGATGCTGCTGGCCGGACACTTCAGCGGTTTCATGCTGCTGTCCCTCTGCACGTATAAATGCTCCAGTCGCCAGCGCTCCCAGCTTTTCCGAAACTCCATCTGAACCTAGCACAAGCCAAGGAGGAAACAAAAGCCATAGAAATAATCAGATCTTGAAATGATTCCTCTAGAAAAGGGCAAGAAAAAATAAAAATATGACTACTTACACTACTTATAAATGCTGGCAGTGCTTGAAGTCTGGAATATTATTGCTTCAGATTATTTAATTATCTTATTAGTCCATCAGAGGGTATTCCACTTCAAAAATAATGACAGCACTCACTTCTACTTGTAGAAATAAAGCTCTGTAATGCTACAGGACACCAGAAAATCTTATCTTCGTTATTTTCTTCCTAATGGTATTCTGCTGCAACACTGAATGTACTTTATGCCTTATCTGCACTACAGTGTCTTAGATTTTTCTTTGAATATACACTTTTTTACATTTCATGCAAAATAAAGATTTATTCAGAATGGAAACTTGGACATCAAACACATTCAAAGCTTGTATGCATTAAAGGATAAAATCAACATAGAATTCTAAGTTCCAAAGTAGGATACAGAAAAGCTTAGCCAGTAAAAGGATAAAAGCAAATTATTGTAAAAATGCAGATATCTCCCCAAGTGGTATCATACTAGGTGTGACAACAGTACTTGTGGCAATATGGCTTGGCAGGCATATCTAGCATGCCCACCACTTTGATAAATTGGTTCTTTATCATAAAGAAGTAAGGAACCAGATCACAGTACCAGATGTTTGGCATGCGAAAAAAGACAGCAGTCCATTTCTGCCCCTCTGTCTCTATTTCATAGAAAAGGTAATGCTTACATTTCTTGTTTTTCTTGAGGTCGTCTTCTTTCTGTGAACTTTTTTTCTCTCTCTCTTTAAACGATAATTATAACACCTTTTTCCAAATACCTTTTTTTTTTTTAAAAAAGGTACAAAACATGCTCATCTAGTCACAGGCTCTGGGTTAAACATTGTAACCTCTGTACCCATTTGGAAGTTTGTGAAGGGCTTTTGAAACTTCTCCAGCAGCAATAACAATTTAGATCTTCCTGTTCCACAGGCAAAGCTCTTGCCAATGGCCTAAAATAAGAACCTCCATTAGCTTTTAACACATAAGGCAGATGACATAAAATTGAGCCTTATTTAGTTTACTTAGAAAAGGGCAGCAGTGCAACTACAGCAATCGGTTCATTGCAGTGTGTGGAAATTAAGTTCACTGTGGGCCTCAAGCAAGCCTGCTCTGGAGGGCTCCTGTTCGTTTTCCTCATACTGACCATCAAGAAAAATTCCTGCATGGACCTGTCATCACCCTGGCTGCTGAAAGCTTCACACTAGTGAAACTTTCCAGGGACTCAGCTACTGCATATGTTTTTCTCCTCCATTTTCATGAATCCAAGATGCAGCCTGAAAGACAGAGGGGATAGAGTACGATTTTGCAGATAAGGAGGCAGTCCTCAAGCACAGAGGTAGATCTTCTGGCATAAAAATCAGCCTAGAAAGCTCTGTGTAAGGATGAGATGTCCCTATGATAAACTAAAGAGGGAGAGGGGACACAAGAGCAAGACTCTGAAATCCCCTGAGAAGGGGGTGAATGTCAATTCTTATGAAGGATATTTTGAAAGAGCTAAGGGAAAGCTTGGAGAACCTTAAAAATAGGGAAATTAAAGGAGGAAAAATCTCAAAGAGAGCACCTGATTGAATCAAATGCAGTAGATGGGAAAGGATGATGAGACTCTGGCGATGAGTCTGAAATCTGTTTACAGAGAAGTTAAAGTTTGGCAAAGGCCATCTCAATAAAACACAGCAAAAGGAAACGAGACCTGAAATGACACAGAACAGAGCTGGCAGAGGAGCGTGGTGGATGGTATGTACAGAGAACACTCAATTAAAAGAAGAGGAAGACTGGGCAGTAATGAAAAAAGCAACTGGAGTCAGGACAGATTCTTTAAAGCTGTAAGAGACTGATGTACACTGCCCTTGCAATAGGAAGGAGGCAAAGTAGCAAGACTATGGAGAACGGAAGCTGAATCAGCCTAAACTTATTCTGGTAGAAAGCTGCAAAATCTCTCTGGTTAGAAAATTTATCATAGAAAGCAACAATAATTGCATAAAAACTGAACACATTAAGCCATTTTTCAAGGAACATCGGTGACAACAGGCAATCTGATGAGGCTCTGCAGTTTGCTTCAGAGCAATACTGGAAAAGACCCAAAATTCTTTCAGATGAAATATGGTCAGAGGTATTTTAATGTTCTTCCATGAGTAGATTCTACAAAGAGATATTAATATAATGGCTAACTTCATTCTTGCTCTTGATCTGGCACCAAGACTTGCAAAAACTTTTTAGGCTGTATGGTTAAGTCAACGGGCCATAGACAAAAATACAAATACAGATATATGTTTTTTATATATATATATGTATATATATGTACATCCATATGTATATGGATAGGCCTTGGGCACGGAGAGTCCAACAGATGAAACACTGTTTGAAAGGCATGAATTTCCCATACAGTTTAGGAGAGAAATAGAAAAGACCTCATCTTTTACCTTTTTTTTTTTTTTTTTTTTAATGGATACTGGTAACTGGGTGTGACAAAATGCTTTTCCTTTCTTTTAACAAGAATCGGAACCAACAACAGCTTTCACCCTAGATTGCCTGTCAGGCTCCCATCAAGCTGAACACGCTGCCATTGGCTTTCAGAGATTATCTCACGAAGGCAAGAGAAGAAGCAACAAGGGACTCAGAGGACTCCTTACAGATTTAAGCAGCCGACTGCATGGCAAATTCCCTGCAATGAAACCAGCTTACCCATTTCAGGGATTGTTTGCAGTTTGGGCTAGAGCGCAGCCTGCCTCTGCCCGTGCATCACACAGGGGAGGTTATTAGGCTCTGCTCATTACAGAGCTCGCTGCAGCAGCTCCGAGAAGGTGTGAGCAAAGAGCAGGGTGAATCGAAAGGCACAAGTGATGCAGCAGCAGACCGTGCTGCAACTCAGTATAAAAGCCTGCTGTTACCCACCCCTGACTTTCATAAACTTTACTATTAACACATTCATTTTAACAAAATCTTATGCACGAGGTAAAAAAGTGAATGGTCTCCTCCAGGGCTCAAATCAGATGCCTGCTGCCTGTTATCTGTTAACACCAGCCTGGCCATAGCTGCAAAACAAACATTTGCTGTCAATTCCAATTCTGTGATGAGGCCTCTCTCTCAATATACAATTCTGAATTACTGTAGAGATAAGTAGATTTAGCGTGAGTGTAAAACAGCAGTGTGAATTAGACTTAATAATACGACGTCAGCTTAGGAGTGTTTGTTTCCCTTGCAAACTGGCAGTGCAATGAATGGGTAATGATACTTACAAGTTATCACAAATGGTTCCTGCCGTATCGAAACTGAACAATATTCTCTGCTAACAGCTACAGGGGTCAGCACAAGCCACAGAAGTTTATGCTCATATCCAGATTAACACAAAGCCCTAGCTAAACTTCTGGGCCTGTGGGAGAGCTTGCTACATGAAGCTCCGTGCTCCATCCATATGCGGGGACTGATGATGTCTTCAAGTAGTTGGGCCACAGCTGTGCCACATTCTGTACAGATATTATTCCAGAGGACTCTCTAACTTCATCAGCTATGTGACAGATTTAGAAGAGCAGCTGTAATTCTCAGTACAAGGAAAGCTCCAGGTCTAAAAACTATATACACGTGAGCAAGAAAACTTGCAACATTTGCTGTTTATAAATGCTGTCCCTAAATTATGCTGCTTGGGCTCCTCCCCACAGTCTTAATCTGAGGAGTTATCCTGTCTGGCTGTACAGAGGAGGGTCGGTAAGGCCAAAAAGAAAAAAAGTCCTAAACTGGGTCAATTTAACAGGTTAAGACTATTTTCAATTTCTTTCAATTTCTTTTTCTCTACATTGGATGCTGATACGGCAAATTGGCACAATCTCAGTGTCTCTCTTACCTCATTATTGATGAAACAGTAGAGAATTGCAACCATCAGCCCCTGAAATCAAGAAAAACAACACAAGAGCAGTGAGAAGAGCTGAGCAGTTCCCCTGCTCAGCTAAGCACACCTGCAAAGGGCTGGTGTGCCTCTTCACACCAGCATGTCCCATGGCGACAGAAAAGCAAGACGGAAAGAGGGAAAAAAATCTATGCTCCCACAAGCTACAGAAGTGAAGTGTCTCCTACTGGGCCTATCCGCTCTGATGGTGGAGGTGAAGTTTGACGAAAGCCTGTCTTAAAGCAGGGGATTTCAATAAAAAGTTACTGCTTTCTCCAACCTCTGCCATTTTTTTCCCCTAAGAATTCCTTAGAAAATCTTATCTATTTTCTAGTTATGACTACTTCATATATCAGCAATTCACAACATATATCAACAATTCACAAGTTAAACTACAACTCTATGCTTGATAAACTGGGAATGAGTAGGTGAAAAGGGAAACTAGAAGAACAATGATTTTCTTAGACAAAGATTTCTTCTGAAATGGCCATATGTAAGGTAACATCTAAATAAAAATCACCATAAATGTACATATCTTCCTAACCATGCAGTTACAGTTGTAGAAAGCTACCCCTCACAGCACAAATGTTCAGAAAAGTATGAAAACCCTGGAAAAGGCGCAAAACTTGCTTTCAGCAATGCATATAACCAACACAATCAAAGGAACTCACAGACAGGGTCATTATTGACTCAAGACATCCCATAGGAAACAAAACTTTATGCAGGGAGACGGAGACCAGTTTACTGCAGGAAATTTAAGAATATGCAACACCAACGTCTAAAGTATCTATCAAAAATTAGCCCTCATACTTCCCTCCCATAATCCTGCAATATCCATTGCTGAATTGTAACGTATCAAGAGAAGGGAACACACAATGAATAAGAGTTCCTCAGACAGCAGTTAGAGAACATCCTGGGCAAATATGCACAGTGGGATCACTACCTGGAAAGAAGCAAAGGAGAGTTCAGTAAAAAGCTTCACAAAGCGCAGCATCCCCCTGGCATGCTCGTCAGTGATAAAGGCAAAGATGACCTCGTGGGTGCCCAGCAGTGGGATCAGAGTCAGTGTAGACTTGGCCAGCCTAAAATCATCAAGAAAGAAAAAACACCACCATGGAGTAGCTACTGAATAGATTGCTGCAGATCCCAATTGATCTCAGGAATCACTGTTCCTGAATTCTGCCTCTGACACATTGTGAACTTTGGTAAGTCATCCCATCCCCTTGTCTCAGGATCCTCCTCCAGAGGCTCTAGATTGAGGGAGAAAAAAAAAAAAAAAAAAGGACAATTTGACACAATTTGACCATTCACTGCAAACCACTTGCTGCTCTGAGTAGTACTCTGTATTCAGCTTCTGGTGGTAGTTAACCTGGAAAATCTTTCAAACTTAAGAGCACATAATGTGCTTATATATTTGTTCAGTTTCTCCGCCTGCAAGTGGGAATGATAATCAAAACCCACCTTGGCCTGAAAGAAATAATGTATCAGTGACTGGAATCTTTTAAAAATACCTTGGTGAGACAGTACTTGGGAGAAGTACTTATTATTCCTTCCCACGTCCTTCACATGTGTTGAGTCTTCAAAGCACTGTAACTATTGCAACCACAAAACACTCTGTAAAAGCAGTTAAACCATCTTAGAGTGATGACTCATTGATTTAAGAGGCAAGCTCAAAGGCACAACTTGCAAAGGAAAAAATAAGCGTGAATCTTTTCCCCAACCTTACATCCAACTAGTTGCTATAACTTATGGCAGCTGCCCTGTTGCTGTGTGCCTTGGAGAACAACCCCGCTCCAGCTTCTCTATAGCCACTGCTAGGTAGCTGTGGACTGCAATTATGTCCTCTCAGCTTTCTCTTCTCCACGCTGAATACACAAAGTTCCCAACACCTCCTTGTATGTCACCTGGTCCAGACTGAACTATCTTGGTGAAAAACTGAAGCAAGTGCCAGTAGAGAGGGCAATTTCTTTCTCTTGCCAGGAGCCTTAAATGACTGCAGAAATACTAAAGAGAGGGGGACAACCATTTCTCCTGACCTTCTGGTGATGCTCTTGCTGGTGCAGCCCAGGCTGCAGGCAGCCCATGCTGCCTTAGGAGCACACTGCTGAACTGCCTGCAGCCTGTTGCTCATAAGGACACCCAGACAGTTTTCTGCAAATCACCTCCACCCCACCAGTGCTGCAGCATGCAGTAATCCCACCTCAAATGCAGAGGCTTTGCAGTTGCATCATTTGAACTTTTTAATGTTTCTGTCAGCCCACAGCAACCTGCCAATGTTCTGGGCACAGAAGGATGGAGGGATGGTAAACCTAAGCAGCTAAATTAAACAGTTTACATGTATATATAGGTAAACAGAGATGCGAAACTCCAGTGCACCAGTGCAGGTCATTCCACCTAGTGGACAGGGAGGTTTCTCAAGAGAGCAGCTTACCAGCAAGTCATGTCATAGTGGTCCCCATCACCACCTGCCAGAAACAGAGGTAAGCCAGAGGCTGAGACTGAATTCGCTCTGGAGACACCGGCTGGGTAAAGAAAGGGAGTTGTGCAGGTGTACAGCAATCCCGCAGGTTCCACTGGATCAGATACTCAGAGAGCTCTGCCTTAAATAAGAAGCCATGAGAAGTCCTATGGAAAGCCCTCCTGGGCAATTAAGACTTGCCAGAGAGAAACTTTTTTCCCTAAACATATTGCATTATTCAGTCCCTGTGATTTTTAATCACTTTTATCAATACATTTCATTCCATTTACCTCCTTGTCTACTTCCATTTCAAGAAGCACAAAAAAAACCATCAGATCACCAAAAAACAAACCTGCATTTTATGTCAGTTTTGCACATCAGATTTGCCTGTAGTTTGGAGATGATGATGCATATAACTCTAATGAAGATCAGGAAATTTACCTGAAGAAAAGAAATAAAGTTTTTTTTTTACACTTTCATCAAGAAATCTGGTAACTGTTCAAGTCTGCTTTGTATATACTTTTCTAGATCCCTGCACATCCTGCTATTCTGCGGCAGCCAAATTTGCCATGGAATTCAATTCTTGCTAAGGAATTGTGCTCTGAAATAGATCCACCTGAAAATGCAGGCCAGTAGGAGAGCCTACCTACATCTCCAGCAAATCAGACACAGAGTTTAAATACGGATGTGATCTGTCCCATTTCTGTGACTGCCACAACTTCATGGCTGCATAACACAGCATTTCTCCCCAAGATCACACAATTTGCTGCTTTTCTGTAGCTCAGTTCTGAAATATTATTTTCTGCCTCCCTGTGCTGCAGTTACCTGTTGCAGCTTTCCCCATGTAGGGAAGTTAGCTGGATTCCACGCTGTTTTGTTATCACGTGCTGCTGTTATAACACGCCAATGTGTGGCCAAATTAAACAAAATGCTATGCAGGAATTCCATCGACAGCAGCCAATCTGATCTCATAAGAAAATGTCAGTATCCTTGGATGCCATCAGCCTTTGGACACATGAGCCACGTGCATATCTGTTCCTTGTGCCGTATGCCTGTCCGCATCTCACAACACACAGTCCATACTCACCCCGATGGCGATTAGAATAGGCAGTCTGATGATCAGCCAGTAATTCATGTTGTAGTTCCTGGTCCAGCAACTAAGGAGATGGCAAAAAGGTGGAAAGCAAGAAGAAAAAGTTTCAGTACATTACTAAAACCCCTTGTTTTTCATTATGTCAAAGCAACACAGATGGAAAACGATATTGAGAAGTAGATACCAGAGAAGCACATCATGCTGACACGGAAACAGATGCAGTTGCTCAATTCTTAGAAACACTGAATGCTTTGTGCTCTTGCAGCTATCGTAATCCAACTGGATATTAATCACCTGCCTTTCTTGCTTGCTAACGGCTAGCCCTTCTCCACATTTTGCTGTGAATTATCACCAGTTAACTGTGAAGATTTACTCTATTAAAACCAAGGTCCAAATGCACCATTTGGCTGAGAGGGCATTCATTTGAGTCACTTCCCTGTGTGGTTCCCACCCTACTCTTTCTGCAATATTTCTTCCTACTCTTAAATCTCTAGTGTCAGGCAGTCTTATTACTCAGCCGTTTGTTAATTCTTTTATCACAGGACCCATCATCACTTTTCCCTGTCAGTATTTGGATTCAGTCATCTATTTCATTTGCCACTATTATCAATAAACCACTTCCAACCAGGATAAAGCAATTAAGGCACAAACTCCTTTTCCCTCAGCATATGTATAGGTTTCAGGCCCAAAGGATTTTTAAAAATTATGGTCAAACAAAACTAAAGACTAGAGCAATAGCTTCCAAATTATGCTGGCCAACTGAACCCTTTGCCAAGCAAGTAACATGTTGCAGGCAAAATCATGCTCCGTTCTCCCTATAAATTTCAAGTTTTAGCTTTTTAAGTTCCTGTGCCTTTCAGCAACTCTGGAGAACTTTCACAAGAAATACAATGCTTGAAAACCATCACTTGGGATCACTGGCTTCAGGTGAACTCTACACTGGGGGTTTCTAAACATAGTTCTTTTGGGTCCCAACCTGGCCACAGCCAGGCACCCCCAGGGACTGGCCACACGTGTGCAAAATAGCTCAGTTTTCAGGCCATGTTCATGCACCAGTTTGAAACAGTTGTGTAAGTACACCCCTGCCTGGAAATCCCTATTCTGAGATGCACCCCAAAAATATCCATACTGCATAGCAGCAACAGCGTTCTTAATAGTTGCCTGAAATAACTTGGTTATTCTCCTGCCACACTGCTCAGCATTGCTCAAAAGCAAAAGTTATCAGTAAAGCCAGCAGGTAAATGCCAAAAGTTTGAGCTACTCAGGCTGCAAAATATTACAGACTGTGAAACTACAAACTACTCAACAGCACTAAAGAAAACATAGGTTCCTTCACAAAGCAGGTTTCTCCCTCCTTTTAAATCTCATCAGCCAAAACGAAGTACATGCAATTTCCCTTAAACCACTTCTTAACAAGCCCATGCAACTTCAGCACGGGTGACACTAGTTGAGAGCAACTTTCCCCTGCAACCTGTAACGGGACAGTTAACTTGTTGGAAACCAGCAGACCTGCAGCGTGCAGTCAGGTGCCCAGGCCATGACAAGGCACCCACGCGGATGCTGCAGAGCAAAGTGAAGCAGCTCGGCTGGGCCAATGCCACACTCCCTTGCAGGTACTGCCAGCCTGGGAAGGGCTCGGGATGTCATCTTTACTTTGTTTAACGCACACAAGCAGCACATTATTTTAACCAGGCTGCTCTACTGTCCAACTTCATTCAATTTGATTTTAGTTAGTGGAGAGAAAAGGTGTGTGAGCTGCATGAGGGCAGTGCACCCCACTTGGCCTCAGAGTAACAGACAAGCTACTTAATAGGTACACGTGCCTGGGAACTGGCTTCTTGAAGCCTCTAGAATTAATTTTATTTGAATCCCCAAAGACAGGCAGGATAATAGGCATGGCTGGAAGTGGAGTTTTAATTTTCTGAACAGCTGCCATGGAAGCAGAGACAATTTTAAAATTTCCTGATAAATAAAAGAGCTGAGAAATGGTCCTTTACATTAACTCTGCTACATTTCTGTGTGCATTAATTTGTTTCCTGTGGCACTGAGCAGTTTAAGCTACTTTTAAATTTATACAAATATGTGCAATAAAAACACCATTACAGTCCAATTAAAGTGTCACAGCTGTTAAAGTGTCTAGAAAATAAAACAGATAGATCTGCACATGATTTCTTGTCCGTTTGTGCTTTCTAGGGTGGCTAAACTGAGAAATACACCAACCTGTCTTGAGATGGGGATCTACTCCTGCCCCTTGCTCAGCACCACTCAAAAGATGCTTAGCAACTAATAGCATGGGAACCGTGAAAGGGGAATTGGTCCAATTAAACAAATGAAGTTTCTTCCTTTGCTTACCATTTTGCTCTGCTGCTTCTAAATAACAAAACACTGAATCTTTGCCTTGAAGAGGCATGGCTGAGCGGCTCCATTTTTTAAAAAGATCTTAAATTGTCTGTCTTGCTTCCACAACCGATTGCTGATAAACACTAAGATGTTTAACTATCAGCTCTTTAGGCGCAGTCTAATAATTAAGAAGCGCAGCTTGCTTTAATTTTATTTGTAATTTGGACAAAGCCTCTTTTTTTTTTTTTTTTTTAGCAGCCCATGTTTTTTAAAGCAGCAACTGATTACTAAAGGAGTTTGCAGTGGCAGTATTTCTGGCAGGGAAAGCTGGAGCTGGTCTGCAAGCGGGAGGTCTCCCGGGCTTCAATCCTTCTTTCCGAATGGTTACGTTCCCGGGAATGCCTCAAACTCTCAGCCCCGACCACATTTACTTACAGTTATTCCTCATAACTAGGGAAGTAGTTGAGACCCAAATGAAATTTGCAGCCTGCTGCACATCCATAGCGGCAGCGCAAACAGCATGAAAGATTTCCCTCGGCGCTCCAGCAAACGCCTGCCCAAGGCGCAGAAACCTCGCCGCTCGGAAAGGCCGCTGCGCATCGTTATTTATTATTGTATTTTACAAATATTTATACAAGATTTAGAAAATTCAATAAAGTGCCAAATTGCCCCTTTTAAGGTCCGCTGAAGGCAGTGAGTGACAGTATTCCTTAATAGAAAACATAAATCAGCTCTGAGCCCTGCATAATGCGAGAGGCTCAGCGTGAGCACTTTGAATACATTTTCCACATGGGTGGCAAGACCTGCCTACAGAGTACGGGCTGTTCAGAGACTGCGTGTTCTCTATACCTGTGTCCTGACCATTTTGACAAAACTCCGTAGCGCTGTGACTATATTACAGACTATAACCAAGCCAACCTTGAAGAGGAAAGTCAGAATCTCCTAGCATTATTTTAGCCGGAAGAGACAACTCGAATGAACTTGTGCAGTATAATCAAAGGAATGAAAGGCACTAAAAAACAAACAAAAAATGGTTCTTAATACCTTGTCCCATAAACATCAGAAGAAAAGTCCAGAGGTGGCTCTGACCGAACTGAGTTTTTGCACTGAAGCATCACTCCAAATGCAAGGATTGCATTTGGAAAGAAAAACAAAAACAGAACAACAACAACAAAAAAACTCTAAAAAGGTGCTGGCTGGGTTGTTCGCAAACTGAGTAACCCAATAAGCAGGGCATTTACAATAAAATTTATTTATTTGTTTCATGACAAAGAAAGATACTCAAATATTTTCAGACAGTCATTGTCAGTAAGGAGAAGCTGCCACTTTCTCTCATTTAACAGAAATGCTGTAACGGCATTTGACAGGTGAAGCATATATAAAAACATATATAATGCCAACTTCTCTGAACAGCCACTAAAGTAAAAGTGGACCAAAAGTATTTTGTGTTTTGCAGCCATTTTGCATGGGGTATAGATGGCCTGCGCAAACTAAGGCAGCCATTCAGAGAATGAAATTTTATCTGATGAAGCCCTAAATAACAGAAGCTTAAACAAGGATTGGTAATCACTTCTCTGCTGCAAGGCATCAGCTAAGCCCTGAGAATCGCAGGCCAAGTACTGTGGGCGGTTTCTGCCTTCCTCTGAAGCTTTACTGTAAGGCTCCTGCCAAAGGCACAGCAACAGGAGCCGGCTTGATTGCATACGATGGCTTCTACTGCTGAGACTGTAACTACAGAAAAACAAAACATACCTTTCCTTGACCTGCAAAAGGATAGATTCGTTTAGACATGCAGAAAATCCTGGCCAGAAAGAAACGTATGTTCCTTTCTGACACGTTATGCAAGACCTTCAGCCACAACACAAGCAACGACACGAGGCTCCAGCACATTGCCAAAGCAAACTGCACCGAACGGGAAGCAAACAGCGACCTGCCAATGCACACACAGCACAAACGAGATAGCTAGAAAAATCAGAGCTAAACCAACCCCTCATCTTCATAAAGGTACTTGACAATCCCCCAGAGGATAACAAACAGCATGGGCACACCTGGGAAGAAAGGAGACAAGGGAGACACTGACATTAAGAGAGCGGGAAAAGCAGAAAGAAGGACTAACCCGCACATGATGACGAGCAACACCGTTAACTTGGGGCAGGCTGGCAGCTCCTTCCCACGCCTGGTGGCCACCAGTCCTGTCAGGAGGACACTGAGGGCAAATAATTGACACAGGCAACTCACTTTCCCTGGGCACTCACCTAACTTCTGATGACCACGGATGCTCAACCACAACAGACCATCACACCTCATTGCTGGGGAAATGTCCACGCAAAACATTGGGGCTGCAGAGGGCTCAGTTCCATGTACCCCACAGCAGGCACCCACCCTGGGGCAACAAGTGTTGAGGCCTCCTCTGGGAAGCCAGAGTGGCAGCAGTTGCATGTAGTCTTGAGAAAAGGCCAGGCCCTAAGCTTACCTGAGGGTGCCTGTGAGCTACGTCTTCTCTGGGGAGTAAGGGGAAGAGAGATGGCAAAAGCCAAATAAGCTCTCACTGGTCATTACTTGCTTTACAACCTCAAAGGCTCTCAATTCACTTTCTTTCACTTATGAAATGCCTAGGCCTTGAAATGTGATTTTAAAGTGCATCTGTCTTCAATAAATACAAAGAATGCACCAAAAATTCACAAAAAACAAGGAAAGCAGGTTAAGTATCAACAGGGAGGATGAGGAATTTCTGCCTAAGGACGATCGAGATGCACTACAATTCTTCTTTGAACAGTGTCAGACATTGTAAATAGCTTCTCTGGGAAAGGAAATATTTACTTTGCTTTCTTATGACATCCTTAACAGTCATTACGATTGGGAATCATAAGCACATCATTATGCGACGCTATGAAAACTTATTAAGTGTTGCACAGGGCAGATACACAGTTCCTGACAAGAGGAGCTACAGGAAAAACAGTGATGCTTTTGCAGTCTGAAAATCTTCAAGGAGCATCTGCAGTGGATATTATCAGTAAAAACCTCACATTTTGCTCTATGTCCGTTCTCTACCCGCAGAGCAGGTAGCCAAGACCTACTATTCACCTTAATCAGCTAAAAAAAGAAAAGAAGCAAAAAAACACGCCAGAAACAAAATCACAGGACAATACCAATAATTAGAACAAAAGCAAAGATAAGGAAATGAGCTGAGATTACTGGGGCATGTGGTTGACTCACATTCCCTGGATGTACCTGATAAGACTACACAGTATTTTAGGAGTAAAGGTACCGAGAACTCCGCTGCTTTGACGCTGGCATTAAATATTAAGAACAGGCTTGTTGCAAATCATTTCCAAACGTAAATGAGCTTTTGATTCACAGAAAATAATTACAGTTTGAATTATTCATTTCTTGACTTTACTGAGAATTAAGACACCTTAATACGAAATTTGCAGGATAAGACATGAACACTGAGAGTACAAAGGCTGTGTTGTGAGGGAACAGATGTACAGCGACAATCGTCATGATCTGTGGATATCTCCATCTTCTGGATACATCACAAATCTCTCCATATTTAACTGCATTACTTGACATTTGAATTAAGTGAGAATCTGTTATTGATATTGAATTTAGAAAGGACCTTTAGAAAGGTGCCAGAAGACTGGAAGAAAGCCAAGGTCATGCCAGTCTTCAAAAAAGGCAAGAAGGAGGACCCAGGCAACTACAGCTCAGTCAGTCTCATTTCTGTCCCCAGAAAAGTCATGGAGCAGCTCATTCTGGCTGTTGTTTACAAACACACGGAGGATAAGGCGGCGCTCAGGAGTAGTCAGCATGGATTACAAGGGGAAATCTTGCTTGACTAACCTGATAGCCTTCTATGATGAAATGACCGGCTGGATAGATGAGGGGAGAGAGGTGGATGTCGTCTATCTCGACTTCGCCAAGGCTTTTGACACTGTCCCTCACAACATCCTCCTGGGCAGGCTCCAGAAGTGTGGGACAAATGAGTGGACAGTGAAGTGAATTAGGAATTGGCTTCAATGGCAGAGCTCAGAGGGTGGTGATCTGCAGTGCCAAGTCTAGTTGGAGGCCTGTAGCTAGTGGGGTCCCCCAGGGGTCAGTCCTCAGTCCAGTCCTGTTCAATTTATTCATCAATGACCTG